TGGACAAGGAATTCCAACTTCTAGCCTCCCTCCCAAACCTTTGATTGAGAGTTTCCAGGCATTTTAAAGCTTCCAGAGAATTCTAACACAGCTGCCTACAATCCTGTGTTTAGGAACCTCTGATCTAACTCATTACAGCCCCAGGAATAGAGTTCTGATTTATTTCTTAAAGCAGTTAACTGAAATATGACTTTTGAACCAGTGTTAACAACAAGCTAAAAATGGTGGAGACTAGGTAAGTCTAAGAGGTACATATTACTATCTAGCCTCTTTTTCAGTAAAACTTTTTTTTTTGCTAAGTTTAACCAAAAAAAGCTATAATTTGATTAAAAAATGCTATTTAGGCTTATTTCTTGATGGTGTGATTAAAAGAGATCTATTTTTTCTTTTACTTTTCTTCATTAAGAAACTTTTAAAATTAATATGAAGTGTGTATTGTGTGTGTGTGTGTGTGTGTGTGTGTGTGCAATCAAATTTTTTTTTTCAGTGCTGGGGATGGAACCCAGGGCCTTGAGCACGCTAGGCAAATGCTCTCTGCCTGTACCAAGCCCCAGCCCTGTATTCATTTTTACTTTTAGTGTTAGACAGGGTTTTTGCCTGTTTTGCCAGGGCTGTCCTCCAGCTCAAGACCCTCTTGCTTCAGCCTCCTAGGTGGCTGGGGTTACAGGAATGGACCATCATGACAAAGCTTCAATCGGATTTTAAAAAGTTCTTTTTCCATTTTTATTTTTATTTATTTATTTTTTAAGAAAGACATAGCGTTTTTGCTAGTTTGAGGTAAACATAGCTATACACAGAGATTCCTAGCATTGCTTCCATGCACAAATGTACTACAACCCGAATTGATTCATCTCTACCAGACCTCTTCACTACTTCCTGGTCACCTTCCCATAGTGGCCTCTGTCAGTTCCTCTACAGTGGGCACATCAAACACTTTGAAGTTTTGGGTTTCCTACCTTTCCCTATTCCTCCTGTATGTGTTCTCCCCTTAGCGTGTGATCCAAGTCCAATAATATTTCTGCATTTGTTTTCAGTCTAAAGTCCACTTATGAGGGAGAACATATAATTTTTGGCCTTCTCAGACTGGCTGAGCTCACTCAGGATGATGTTCTCCAGTTCCATCCATTTACCTGCAAATGATAAGATTTCACTCTTCATGGCTGAGTAAAATTTCACTGTGTATAGATACCACATTTTCTTGATCCCTTCATCAGTAGTGGGGTATCTTGGCTGTTTCCATAACTTGGCTACTGTGAATAGAGCTGCAGTAAACATGGGTGTGCAGGTGCCTTTCCTTCAGGTATATTCCTTCAGGGATATTCCTTCAGGTATATCCCTGCAGTGGTATTATTGCTGGATCATATGGGAGATCTTTGCTTAGTTTTTTAAGACACCTCCATATTGTTTTCCAAAGTAGTTGTAGTAGCTTATATTTCTACCAGCAGTGTATGAGGAGTCCTTTTTCCCTGCATCCCCGCCCCCTCAACATTTGTTGTTTTTGGTGTTTCTGATTATAGCTATTGTAACAGGAGTGAGGTAGAATCTTAGTGTGGTTTTGATTTGCATCCTTTTATGGCCAGGGATGGTAAGCATTTTTTTCATGTGTTTTTTCATTTTTAAATCAAATTGTAATGATGATTATGCTTTTACGATTTCTAAAAGGGATGCTGGCAGCTGTGGAAATGAGTGGCAGAAATGCAGCTTGCAGTTGCAGAAGTGGCCCCACTGGGAGGAAGAGAGAGAGAATGGTAGAGTTGGGAAATGTTAGGTTTCCCCCTGCACTTAAGGAACAGGAAAGCAGACCCAGCAGTTATGGGACCATGGTACAATCCCGAGTTTAAAGGATCTGGCATAAAGAATAAAAAGTGGTGATGGAAGAGAAGTGAGTACTAAGTTTGGATAGAAAACTGAAAATTGGCTTTTGTAACTACTGAAGCTAAATCACTACTCATCTAGCTCACTGGTTAAACACTGTCATAAGTGAGGATAATTTATTCAGTCCCATTGCCTGAGGCTTTGCTTTATATGACCTGTGTTCTATTTTAAGGGTTTCTGAGTTTCATAAATGAACAGGATTTTTCTCCTTCCTTTTTAACTGTCATTTTTCAATTGAATAAATTATAATGGCTTTCTTTTTTCTTGGAAGAGTCTTTTTGATGTCCTCTTCTTGCTACCCTCCCTAAACAACCTGAATGTAACTTTGCCTTTGACTCACATTCCTTCTTATGGACAGACATCTTTCTCCCTCACAAACACTTTCCCTTTCTCTCTGTACAAGTTCCTGTTATTTCTGGCCTAATGGTTCAGGGTCCCGAGAGTCCTGGGCACAGTCCACAGTAGGTACGTCCCTCCCTTGAGCTGCAAGGAATTTGGCTGATTAACACAAAGTTTATAGGTTTGTGCAAAACTTCAACCACCCAACCCCCACTTCCTTTAACGTGAAATAGAAGTCCACATTTCAAACTGCTCACAGCAACTGGATACGGTAGGGGAAGCTTCTGTTTTGCTAGAATGGTATTTCAGGATCTTTTGAAGGCAATTTCATTTCATGTTGCAAAGACTGCTCTTCTCCCTCTCCCTATCTCCCTCCCTCTAATTAGGCAGGGGAGGGAAGGAGAGAGAATGCTAGTAAAGTAATGTATCTATGAGTCCTAGTGGGTAATGCTACCTTAAATAACTTGAACTTCCACTGGCTGGCTTTTGTTCATAAAAAGCTGATCCTTTCAGGTGCAGACCTATATAAAACTCTGGGCATTAAAGAGCACACAGAAACTTCAAATCTCTTCTGCTTCATAAGGTAAAGACATGTTTAAACTAACAGTTTGAAATTGTTTTGAGGTTACTAATACGGACTCACTTAAAAAACTTTCCAGTTCTTTAATAAATACTAATATGTGATATGATTCATATGACATGTCACACTAATAACAGACACTAAAGTAGATTATAGTATTGTTTTCTGCATTGCTCTTCAATGCACAGCTGTCTTTGGGAAAAATGATTTTTTTCATGTCAACTGCAACAATGGGGAGGAAGCTACTTCATTTCACAAGGAAAAGTATCACCTGGTATATGACTGAAAATAGTTCTTTCTTTGCATACAAAATAAGGACTTGTTTTAAGTGTAATGCACAGCGTCTACAGTGACAGGTGGGAATTTCACATACATGTCACACTGCTCCACAGCTCTGGAGGTGATAACAGTGGTTGACGGTGTGTGTGAGAAAGCTTTGTGTGGATTGCAATCTCAATTCCCAGAGTGCCACCAACAGCTGCATTTTCAACAGAGATTGCACACGGCAGGACCAAGATTCAAACACAGGCTTCTCACCACTGTGCCAAGATGTCTATACCGAGGATCCTCTTAGAACTCTGCAATAAGCAGTCTGCTATTTTTTTAGGTGGAACCATTAAGTTCCTGGAGTTGCGGGAAAGCTGAAAAGAAAGAACAAGTAAGTATCTGCAAGAGAAAAAATCTGTGAAGCACAGACTGGTAGAACACTGTTGATTAGTTTGGTAAGTTGTACCAAATGGTATTGGAGTAAATATTGGATGATTTGAGTTTAAAGCCAATGAAAATGAAATGCTACATTACATCCCTTGCAGTCTATTTCTTTGAAATCCTGTTACATAGATATTTGAGGGGCAAGCCGCCTGTCCAGGTGTGGGATGGAGTCACAGACACTGCAGGAGGCTGGAGTACCTTTTTGTGTTTATTGTTTCATTCACTGGGGCAATCCTGTGCCCTAATGGCTTGATATAGTGTTGGATTTTAGACAATCTGGGTAGTACTGCTTTAGCTAGGGTATCTGATGATCATCCTCAGTTGGCAGAAACAGTAGGATAGAACAGCTCTTGTGTAATGAACCCAGGAGAGTAACCACAGATGAGGAAGACCATTTGCATCTTGTCAGAATCTAGATCAGAGCTGTTCCTGTATGGCATGGACTTAAGATATGCTAAGCACCATGAATCATTTCAAGGCAAAAAAAGCAAGAAAAATCAAGGCCACGAAAGCCAGTCTTGCCTCGTGGGCAGGAATGTGGGGTGGCAGTGGGACATACTGCTCTGACTGCCAGCTGAGTCTTCTCTGGGGCTGGTTTTGAATCTGTCTGGGTCTATATTTCTCTCGTCTGAGCCAGAGTGTAATGACAGGGTCTACTCCCACAGGTGGTTGTGCAGATCACAGGAACACACTTAGAGCTCTAGGATGGTGTCTGGCGATTGTAAAGTGGTATTGCTTTGATGCCAATCAGTGGTCTCCATAGCCAGTTCTCTTGTTCCGAATCAGGCAAGAGTTCCTGGGTTGTACTAACCACATCGCTGTTACTCACCACCCTCTCTGTGAGCTGGCAGATATTATGATGCCTTTTCTGCTGATGAGGAAATGGGCACTGAGGGGATTACAGGAGCCGTCAAGTGTTGAGAGTGGAGAGCCAGGCCTGGCTCCTAGTTTGAGCCCATTGCTTTCTACTATCTTCCAACAGAGCTTCAGATAAAAGGACAGCAGCCTTGTGTTTGCTCCAAACCCTAGCTTCTCATTCATGCCATCGACCTGTATTCCACAAGTACCCCCAGTGGTATGCAATGCTAGACAGACTTTCTTCATTGAAGTCCACTTCCAAAGGTTATTAGAAATATATTTTAGAACCGTGGAACTTACTGATGTGCTACAGTGGTCAGAGGTGGTGGGGAATGACAAAAACTCACTGCAGCCTTCTGAGCACACATGCAGTGTTTGTTCCCAGGTGGCACCAGCTCTGCTTTTCTGCTTCTTCAAGTTCATAGGTTCTGTTGTGTTTAGTGGTCTCCTTATACCTTGCTCTGCAAAACACCATGACAGCAACCTGGGTGGCTGCCCGCCTGCTGACCAGGGAACTAAGCTGACAAGCAGATGCTAAGGCCACAAGCTACACCTTTTGGAGACCTCGAGGAGTCAGATTTGACCCAGGCAGAGCATTCCTTCTTGTCCAGCTCTTTCCTGTTCGCAGGCACGGGTTATGGACGTGTACATCAGCTCTGCACAGCAGCCCCAGGGCCTGGTGGGGACTCTCCAGGAAGATGGCACAGGAGGACCCTCAGGAGGTAAACTACTTCTTCCCACAGCAGCTTTCCGCAGGGGCTTTTCTGGCGATGACATTTTCAAGTTAATTTCAGTGACAAGAATTTCCATTTCCTTTTAATTCTAGGTTTTTACTATAATGAAGTATAGTAGAAAAATGCCTTTGTGAAAACATAAACTAGCATTAAAGTTTATCCCTGGTTTTTCATAATTTGCTTATTGAGTCCACAACTTTATCTTATAAATAACCTGAGAATGCTATATTATAAACAAGAACTTAAAAACAAGAGGAATCTAGATTTATTTCTGCTTTTTGACAAAGCACGTTCCTGGCATTTTCTTCCAAGAGTAGATCCTTCTAAATCACAGGGCATTTTCCCTTTGGGACAAGGTAGCAGTTCAGGGTTGCATTTCTGGGCATGGATTCAGAAGTAAATAATAGGCATATTATTTACTTCTGATGTAATAAGAGCCATTGACAGCATTCAAAATCATTTAAAGTGTTATGTCTCAACTCTACTAAATGAGGATGTTATTTGTTTTTACTGAATTGTTTATAAAATATGCAACTCTACTCTTATCTCTAAAATCTGAGCTTTAAAAGTACAGGCTTGCATAGACATAATAAATTAAAATATTTGAAATGTAACAAACAAACATTTTTCTATCTTTACAGAATTTCAAAGTCTTCTGGGAAAATATTTATATGCCAGTCTTTATAAATATTGTTAATTGAAATGGGGGTTAGCACACTTGTAATTCCAGCACTCTGAAGACTGAGGCTAGGGAATCATGAGTTCAAGACCAGCCTGTGCTACATATGAGATCCTGTCTCAAAAAATCAAAACCAACAACAACAAGAATGATGACTGGGAGAGCATAACTGTTAAGCTTAGTAATAAATAACTGTCAGATTATTTATCTGTGAAGTGATGACCTATTCAAAATTGGTCTACCTACTTTTCCTGCGGTGCTAAGAGAAAAACGAATCTCTAAATGGAGGTTGTTGGGAGCCTGGGCCTTATGGGGTAAGGGAGGTGGCAGGGCTGGCAGGAGCCCCTAAAGCTTTGGCTGCCCTGAACCCCTTGCCCCCAATGGGGACTTGAATTTCAGGAATTTTGGAACTGATTGTTAAACATGACCATATTAAAATTTAAGTTATATAACTTACAATTAAATAGATTATAGTAAAGGCAAATGTCCATCAAAAACCCAAAGTAGTAAATGCTCAAAATTCCTCACTAATTATTTTACATTTCCTGTGCTCTGCAGTTTATTCCTATCTCTGTGTCTGTGGAAGAAACATTATTGGGTGGGGTACAGCTGCATGTCTTTCCCAGGCATGTCACGTGGGTCACGGTGGAAGTGTTTGCACCAAGGGCACTTGTCAGACCCTATGAATCAGTGCTTCCTTTCTCTTTCAGGACTGGTCATTAAACTTTCATTAGCACATCATAGTCTGATGCCTTCGTAAGGCTCTGAGCCGGAATTCAGAGTTGGTGTCTCAACCCTATGGTAGAAGTGAGGACGTCTGTCATTCATCAATATTGGGGTGATTTTGTTAGATGTCAGTAGCTTCCCATTTGTGGCAGGGAGAGGCTATAAGTCTCCCTCTGTATCTTGTATCCTTTGTATACCCTCACTACAGGGCATGTGACAGAGAAAGACAAAGTCTCAGGACAGAACTGGCTCTTTATTAGCGGCTTCTTGCAAGCTCAGTGCAGTTCGCTTTCTTTTTTTAAATTTGTATATTTTTAACCATCCTTGCAATGCAATCCACTTGATCATGGTGTGTTATCTTTTTAATGTGTATTGAATTCAATTATAAAATATTTTATTGAGGATTTTTGCATCTATGTTCATCAAGGAAATTGGTATATCATTTCTTTGTGTGGAATCCTTTTTTTTAATTGTATTTTATCATTTTTACATTTACATACATGTGTACAGATTATTTGGGCCACCTGCCCCCTCTCCCTGCCCCTGCTTCTGGGCAGAACCTGTTCCTCCCTCTTGTTCTCCAACTTTGTTGAAGAGAAAACATAACAGATAATAAGAAAAACAGCATTTTTGCTTGTTTGAGATAAAGATATACAGAGAGATTCCTAATGTTACCATTCATTTGTGTATTATAACCCATATTGGTTCATCTCTACCAGACCTCTTTTTTTGGTCAGGGCAGAATTTCTCTTTCAAGAGAGGTTGAAATCGGAACTACTTGGAAGAATCAGACAACACTAAGCGCTAAGGGACTCCATTAAGCTGTCTTACAAATGCCTCACTTCACCCACACTGGGATCCAGGATCATTTCTTAATGTGCTGCACACTGATCCTTCTGTAAAATACAAGAAAAATGAATTTCTAGAACAACAAAATGAAGACACAAACAGACATATAACATACAAACTCTAGTTTTTAAATAATTCTGTTCAACAGACATTGTCAAATTGGTAAATATTTCTAAATGCGTGCTCCATGTTTCTGTTCCTATCCTACTGTGAATCTGTTACAACCGTTTTGCAGACTATGGAACTGAAATCAGTGGTGCTTGAGATCACTGTAGGACCCACCCCTGTGGATCCCATCCCAGCCCCCCTCTCTCATGCCTTGTGTCCCATCCCCTGCTCTCCCTCAAATGGCCATTTCTGATTAGACTCACTGGCTGCGCCTCTCCCAGCTCTTTTCCAAAACCCAGACTCTACTCCTAGCTAAAAATCTCCTAGCCATTTCCCAGACTACAAAAGCAAGTGTCAAGTGGATAAAGAGGAGCCCGCTCCCCGACTCCTCACTGTAATTCCTTCCCATCACTGGCACCAACTCCTTTGTTCTGCCAGCCACGGTGTCTAAGGGCGGATGTGCATCAGATCTGCCCTGCTGACATTTTACCTCACTGCTCTTTTTATTCTTAAACCCTTGGGAAAACCTGCAATGATTTGTGATTCCATGATGTCAGCCCCATCAGGCATTCTTTTCCTCATTTTATATGATATCTAAGAGCTGCTATCATGGGTCATGGGTTAAAAGAGTATTTAAAGCAATAGTAACTTAATAGCCAGGACTCAGCTGACAGCCTCCCAAGACTGTAGGGCTGGCTCGCTGTGGGTGGCCTGTGCCTCTTGAGGGGCAGTTGTGGGAAGGACTTAAGGAACATTCTCTGACCAACATGTGGGAATGTCACTTCACTTCAAGACCTAAAAATAGCCAGGTTCATGTTTATGTACTTCCTCCTTATCCAGACAACTCTCTCAGGTCGTTTTGCTGGTAATGTAACTTTCTCCTCCCATGAAAACATAGGGTGGGAGCAAGGTGTGGTGGTGCATGCCTGTAATCCCAGCACTTGGGAAGTGAAGGCAGTATGATCATAAGTTCAAGGCCAGCCTGCCCTATATAGTGAGATCCTGTCTCACACAAAGAAACAAACAAAACATAGAGTTGGGATGGATCCCCACTTCTGTCCTCTCCCTAAGTATGAAAAGATCAAGGGTATTCTTAGGCATTTGTCATGTTATACAAATGTGTGTCTGAATTTCATGTCCCTGTCACCCCATGTAGTTCAGTTTTGTGCTAATTTGCAGTCATTGTTGATGGTGGCCCTCCTTTTTGTGGAAACATTGCTTAACCTCTTTTCATTCTACCAATTTTAGTGAGTGTGAATTTGCACTGGATCCACGAGATGTAAGACCATCTTGCTTTCTGCTTCACAGATTGTAACAAGGTAGAATCATCTCTTCGCAGCCTCCAGACATTTGTTCCTGCAGACTATGCCAGCTACACGCAGGAGCATTACCAGTTTGCTGGCAAGACGATTGTCATCCAAGAATCGATAGAGAGCTACGGAGCAGTGGTGTGGCCTGGGGTGAGAGAACTTTTGCACTCGGTGATGCCAGGCTCTCTGGAGATACACTGTCATATATCTGTGTTCCTCAGGCAGCAGGTCACATGCACTCGCATTTGGTGCTTCTCAAATTGAAGGTTGATTGGTTTCCCAAGGGTGCTTGTGCTGGTTCTGTGTTTGGGCTCTGCAGAAACATGGCATTGCTTCAAGAAACACTCATTTTGCTTTAAGCTATGTTCTTTGCTTTTTTCTTCTTTTGGCTGTTCTGGGCATCAAACCAGGGCCTCTTGCATGATAGGCAAACCTCTACCCCAGCCCTAAGCTGTTTCTTGAAGCATTTTTGTGTTAAACAAATCTGACCATATTGGGAAGTAGGTTACAAAATCCTTACAACTATCAAGGGAAAAAATCATGAGTTTGAGTTTAGACTTTGCAATAGGTACCTTACTCACTGTCCCATGGTTGTTCCCAATATGGTGTATGTTCCAGAACATTCACTACAATGCACTAAAATCTGCCACTTTCCGGCTGTGTGATCACAGGTGTTCATTGCACTTCCGGGTTTAAAACCTGGGGTAGTGGTAATGTTTAGTTTCTGACCTGGTTGTGACAACTAAATGAAGTACTGCACCTAGGCCCACATTCACTGTAATTTTTTGAGGGGAGTGGGGGGTGGGACTGGGATTTGAACTCAGGGATTTGCTCTTAAAAAGAGGTGTTATGCCACTTGAGCCACACCTCCTGTCCATTTTTCTGTGGTTATTTGGAGATGAGGTCTTGCAAACTATTTGCCTGGCCTGGACTCAAACTTCAGTCCTTCCGATGTCAGCCTCCCAAGTAGCTAGGATTACAGTTGTAAGCAACTGGTACCCAGCTGCAGCTGTACTTATTAATATAACACCATTCCCACCTCACAGCTGAGGACCAGGGGTTCAGACAGGCTCCTCAGCTTGGTAAGGCTTTTCCCCTGAGGCACCCTCAAGCCAGCTCCACTGCCAAGACTGCAAGAAGAACTTCCAGTTGTTGAGTCACATACAGATCTCATTCAAATGCAGATCCAGGTTCTGGGTGTGTGTGTGTGTGGTGTGGGGGGAGTGGTGTAGTGACTGTGATTCTGCCTTTCTTAAAAACTGCCTTGTGACGCACAGTGGCTGCCCAGGCCTCAGCTGGGTGGTCATGATGGAGGTCTGTGCAGCACTGACTTGTCATGGAGCTTCTCCCCGTGGTCCTGGGGAGTGGTCGCAAGTGAGGGAGAAGAGGAGCCCAAGACCCGGGGTCATAGGGCTCTGCCCCCCAGAACAAGGAAGCCTTTTTACACCTCATGCACCAGCATGCTTTCCTTCAAAGGCTGTCTTTCCCCTTAATAACAAGTTTAAAAATACTAACCGACCTCCCACCTGACCTAATACATTGGGCAAACAGACAACTATAGCAGTGGCAACATGACATTAGGAAAAAAGAATATTTGTCTAATTGATTTTTTTTTTCCTGAACTGGTGATTGAACCCGGGGCCTTGTATATTTGAGGAACGTGCTCTACCACTTGAGCTAGGCCCTCAGACTTTTTGGGTTTTGGTATTTGTTTTTGTAAGATAGGATTTCTCATTAACTTTGCCTGGGGCCTTGAACCCCAATCCTCCTGCCTCCACCTCCAGAGTAGCTGGGATTACAAGTTGTGTCAGTGTGCTTGGTCTCCATTTGATTTTTATTCTCAATAATGACCTAGTCTTTCACTGGCCAAATCAGCCTCTCTTGGGACCTCAGTTTCTGGCAAAAGTGGGAAATGCCCCTTTCCATGTGACTCCGGTTAAAGAACTCACTTAAGAGTCTGTTTATGGGCTCTGGGGTGGGGGAGTTTGCAACATCAAAAATTGCTGCTGCTCCTGAGAAAAGTTTGGTCTCCCCATGACACCTGACTGGGTCAGCTCTTCCAGGATGGAAGGGCACCTCAGAGGGAGTCCTGTAAAATGTCTCCCAAAGATCCTTCTCAGCATATGTCCACTGGACCACTTTAAGTGACACCCTTCTTTAGACTGAAAGTGTACATGGCAAATCTTTCCCTTTTTAAAAGCCAAAGATCTCCATCCTCAGATTTCCTCCTCAACCTGCAAATTGCATGGCTTGGTGCTATTTGACAGCTGAGGTGGTCTCAACTGGAGACACTCCTCTTATCTTTCAACACCACAAGGTGACCTTGACTCCCCAGTGGCCTCTGCTGTCCATCCTTCATACTGCTATGTGCCTCCTTTATGTCACTTAAGCCACAGTAATGCAGTTTGTAATTGGTTTACATGGCCATCCCTGCCACCAAGTACATTGACAGTAGATAACTGTCACTTGCCTTTGCATGCATCTGTGCAATATGAACAGAGGAAGATGACATGGAGTGACTTATGGGTTGGGTTTGCTACTAACCCTATCCCTGGTGATCAGGAGAATCATCCCGGTTGCCCCCTCCAGCCTAGACCCACAGTAGAAAACGGAGTCCAAATTATAGTGCTCTCCCGCTTTCCATTGCAGTGCTCACAGTCCGCACTTCAGATGATACTTACTTGGATTAAAATCACTTTCTCATGTGTAACTTTTCCTAGTCTCATCCTGGACATGACCAGCTGACACACTGTCATAAATAATGCCTCACAAATCAATGCAAATCAAGTATCCCATATCTCTTTGTAGAAAGCAGGTGAGAATGAAGAAGGGAGGTTTGATTTTGTGTGGAAAAAAGCAAATTCTTTTCCTACTCAAAAATGTTTCATGAGCTGGTCAGTTGTCACCACCGGGGGCTTGTGTAGGCACTGAGACTCCTGATCCCCACTCCGGACTCACAGAAAGCTATGCAGGACATTTGTTTGCACACTAACATTTGACATGTACTGTTCTGACAAAAAAGAAGAAAAAAGCCCCAAACTGCCCCGTTGTCCAATGTCCTAACCAACCTGGATTTTGCTAAGGTCAAGAGAGAGGTGTACAAAATGTACATTTTGTGTACGTTAAAATATCCTTGTGTATTAAAATCTCTTGAAGCAGGTGGAGACCCAAAATGACCAAACCCATGGGAGAAGTTGCCTGTGCAGCCCACATTTCTCTGATTCATAGGAGCTGAGCTCATTTTCCTATTTTTTTGTTCTTGAAATCGGTTATATCTGACGTAGGCACGTAGGCAATTCAGCACACCTGTTTCTTCTGTTCCTTAGATGCAATTTATTTTACTTTTCACATTGCAGAAGTGTGACTATAGCACTGAATGTGTATTTTGTTCTTGTGGACCCACTGGTAAACCTAAAAATGTTTAATAATGTCTGTCTTTAACCTGGGGAGGGGAGGGTTACTGGTTTCCAAAATTCCAATCCCAGGTTAATTGTTAGTGTTTTTAGGCTACAGCTTTGTGCCAGTACTTGGAGGAACATACAGAAGAACTGAATCTCCAAGATGCTAAAATTCTTGAAATTGGTGCTGGACCAGGGCTTGTTTCCATTGTGGCCAGTATTTTAGGTTTGTTTGTTCATTCTTTCCTTATTTCAAAAGATCTTTACTGTGATGACAGTGACGAGTGCTTATTGTCTGACAGGTAGTGACCATACCTGTTATGGCCATGCTTTCACTCTTTGTCTACCAAATGTCCTGTGGTACGAGTCACTACCATTCTCCACAGAGGAAAGTGAGTTTTAGGTCAAGCATTCACCCAGTTTCCACATGATGAAGTTGGCATGACAGGAGTGTGACTGTGAATTCATGTTGATCTTCACAACCAGGGGGAGGGAGAGGTTGGGGTGCACTGATACCAGGTGGGTGAAGATCAGGGCTGGTGCTAAGCTATCTTGCAGCGCACAGGACAGGACCACCCACAGGAAGGAGTAATCCAGCCTGAATTATGTCAAGTGTGTTCAGGCTGTAGACCAGGAAGACCAAGGTTCAGAAGCCAGCTATTTATTTGTGTCTCTTCTTGATGGATACTGTGGTGGCCCAAATGTTTCCAAGTAATTTAACCATTTTTCTCTCTTAGGAGCTCAAGTCACAGCCACAGATTTGCCCGATGTTCTAGGAAACCTTCAGTACAATCTTTTAAAAAACACGCTGAAACGCACAGCACATCTGCCTGAAGTGAAAGAACTGGTGTGGGGGGAACACCTGGAGCAGAACTTTCCCAAGTCAGCCTTTTATTACGACTATGTCCTGGCCTCAGATGTGGTCTACCACCACTACTTCCTGGACAAGCTGCTGGCCACCATGGTGCACCTTTCCCAGCCGGGCACGGTGGTGCTGTGGGCAAACAAGTTCAGGTTCAGCACCGATTATGAGTTTTTAGATAAATTCAAGCAGGTGTTTGATACAACTCTCTTAGCTGAATACCCAGAGTCATCAGTCAAACTTTTTAAGGGGCTACTAAAATGGGACTAAATAAAACAATGTGCCTTACAAAATATGTGTCTTTGGTTAGAAGTTGAGTAAGTTGTAAGACTGAGAAGGCACTGCAAGGAAACAACTTGTTTACCTCGAATAAATGTAACTCAATTCTGCAATAGCGTTCTAAGATACTTAAGATTATCTGGTCAATATGAACATCTACAAAGAGTAACATAAAAACATGAAAGCAGCTTTGTTGACTTCCAAAGTCCCAATGAAGTGTTTAATAAATTTTACATGAATAAGTTAATAAACCTGTGGATTATCCCTTAATTAGTGCTGCAGAGCAGCACAAATTTTACAGTTTTGGATTTTAATTTTGTTATGTATTTTTTGACAATAAGCCTGACAGGGTCATTATATCTTAGTTTGAAGAATCTACAGAGACAGATTTTAAGTATACAGGGAGAGGATATTGAACGACAGAAAACAATTATAGGTTTAACATTGATCTAAAGTAAAAAATATGGAAATTGCTGGAATGATCAAGCATTTTGTCTTAGGAACTTCTCAAGAAAATTTACAAATTCACTCCATTTGTGTCAAAACCTATGATACTTCTAATTTTAATTTCTGGATTGCCTGTTTTCATGACTTTATAATTAAGATTCTTAGAACATGAGGAAAAAATGGAATTTTTGTTTGTTCTAATAAAAGATTATAAAAATAAAAACAAATATTACAATTATAAATTATGCTTATCCTTTCAGTTAGGGAATATATAGTAGTTCTGGTTAATATTATTCTGGAGATTTTAGTCAACATAAAGGAAAGAAAAGAAATAAGGCATGCACATTTGAAATGGGAGAAATAAAACTTACACTATTGATGGGTGACAAGGTGGGTAAGCCAGGCTCAGCAAACCTTTTCTTGGAGAGGACTAGATAACAAGTAACCTAGACAGGCCACATACTGTTTTGTAGCATATTTCTTGTTTTTTTTTTTTTTTTTTTTGACAATCATTTTTAAGAAGTCAGAACCACTCTTGGCCTGCAGAAACAGGCTACTGATTGAATTTCGCCTGCAGGCCAGTTTGCCAGCCGCTGGAACCACAGGCCATCTGTAGTGGAATTACCGGAACTTATGAAACGTTAGCAAGGCTGCCTGATGTTAATACGCAAAGGTCAATTTAACTTACAAGTTCTCACCACACAATTAGAAAGTTAAATTTACATAAAGATAACATACTTAAAACTAGCAATATTAAATCTACCAAAAGATATGAAGACCTCTACATGAATTCGTAGCACTAAGAGAAATTAAAGCTAACCCAAAGTCAATTTTCTACACATTGATCAATAGCCTAGGTGAAGCCATTGTCAAAATCCCAATATGTCTTCCTGTGGAACTTTGTATGGCTGATTTCTAAGAACATTTACGAGAAAAGGCTGAGAGGAGCCAAGACACAGCGTTAAGAAGAACCTGGTGGGAAGACCTGCTTTGTAAGACGTTAACAAGCGTTTTATTTTTGATGTTTCCTTGTACGCATGCATCATACACATTCACTTAAAGATGCATCACTGAGGTATTGATCCCTATTAGCTCCTAAACATATTGACATTTCATAAGGTGAACGTTGAATCCTCCTGTTGTTTCCATAAATTTAAGGGGAAATGAGTGTTCTAGACAGAATCTCAAAGCTTAACTTGACTCTTCCTTTCTCCTTGATTGATATTGCCTATTATGACTATGAGTCTCCAAGGTATCTGGTGATGGAGACTAAGTTTATCTTCTTTTTTGTGGTACTAGAGTTTAAAACTCAGGGTCTTGTGCTTCTAGGCAGGTGACCACCACTTGAGCACAGCCCCAGCCCTTTTTTGCATTATTTTTTGATAGGTCTTGCATTTTTGCCTGAGGCTGGTGGCAATCCTCCTACCCAGGCCTCCTGTGTAGCTAGGATTATAGGTATGTACCACCATGCCCAACTTATTTGTTGAGATGGAGTCCTGCTAACTTTTTGCTACGCTGGCCTCAAACCACAATACTGGAAACTGGCTACAATTTCTTATCTTTGGGCTGGGGTGTAGCTCAGGGGCAGAGTGCCTGCCTAGGATCTGTGAGGCCCTGGGGTCAATCCCCAGCACAGCCAAATAATCCTTCTTCTAAAATAGAGAATGATATGTGTGCAACAATTAACATTAAAACCCATCTCATTTGCAAGATTTAAAAACTAATACTTTAAAAAATAGAGGAAATTATGTGTCCACTACTTCCACCAAATAAAGTAAACCAAAACAGCAGGAACAACAAAAACTCTTGGCCAAGGTAGTAGACTTAATTTTCTTCCCTCAACCAGATGGAAGAACACACCTTTTTGATGCCCTCACTTAGAAAAGGACAGATGCCCTGCTATCTTGACAATGTGTGGGAGGTACAGAATATTTACTTGGTGCTTCTACACTATCCTCCACTTGCTATTGCTGCTGCTTCTGTCCAGTGAGCAAAGGTGGGAGAGAGAAGTCAATTTGGAAACCACTGGTCTGTTATTAGGAATTTCAGTATCAAGTCAGTGGATATCAGATAGGATAGCCACGTAGGTCAATGGGAAAGGGGACCAGGAACTAGAGAAAAGGTTAGATCAAAAAGAATTAACCTAGAAGGTAACACCCACGCACAGGAAATCAATGTGAGTCAATGCCCTGTATAGCTATCCTTATCTCAACCAGCAAAACCCCTTGTTCCTTCCTATTATTGCTTATACTCTCTCTACAACAAAATTAGAGATAAGGGCAAAATAGTTTCTGCTGGGTATTGAGGGGGGGGAGCGGGAGGGGGTGGAGTGGGTGGTAAGGGAGGGGGTGGGGGCAGGGGGGAGAAATGAACCAAGCCTTGTATGCACATATGAATAATAAAAGAAAAATGAAAAAAAAATAAATAAAAAAATAATAAAAATAAATAAAAAAAAAATTAAAAAAAAAATCAAATACCTAGGGAAAAAAAAAAAAAAAAAGAAAGAAATAGACCCCACACATACATGGTCAGTCAGCTTTCACAGTTTCCCAGCTAACTCAGCGGGAAAGTACAGTCTTTTAAAACAGTGGCGATAGACTAATTATGAACATAAAAATACACACATACACTCACTTGCCTTGAGTATTCTCATTTCATACATAAAACCAAACTGAAATATATTACAGACATAAATACAAGAGTTAAGGGCTATAAAAACTGTGCAGGTGAAAGTACACGTAAGACATGAGAGAACATGCTTATAGCTGTTTGTGGATAGACTTTATTTAGACTCTAGACACACCAGAAACTGTGTAAAATGTCTTTATGCGTATTTATATTTTTTCATAAAAACCCTAATGCTTTCATCAGATGACTAGATAAGATCAACTTGCAGGTCTTTTACAGCAGGAAATTCTGAGGGGACAAGATGAAAAAACCAAACACACACAATTTGCTATCAGATAAGTGGCTGTAAGCTTTTTAATATTGTCTACTTCTGTTCATTTCATGGAGCAAGATATGAGAAGCATGAAAAGTAGCCAGAAAATAAAAATAATGAAAAGTTAAATATACACAAAAGTTAATCACATACTAAGAATTAGAAATATACTCAAATAATTGCAAGCTATAAGAAAAATTATAAAATAAATTACTGTTTAATTTTTTGTCTATGGAGTTAATATATTATTTGTGTTCTAATTCCAGATTTGATTTATGAAAAATTAAGACCAATTTTAAGAAGCTTCAATATTCACTTTTATTATTTATTAAAAAAAATTAAGGTATCAGAGTGCATATGGTGTATTGTGACCGTGGTTTTGTACTTTTATTCATGTGTTTTACATTATTTCAACTTTAATAAACACACTGTGTGTTACCTTTACAATACCTGATAAAGATTCAGCTGTATGGCACTTATACATGTGTTACTAATTTATTTTGATGCTGTGTACTTCAAGAGTACATAAAAATGATTTGCCTGTCATGACCCCAAGATGAAAAATTATTCAAACAGTTATGCTCCACCAATTGCCACGCATTTGTGCTGGTTTTATTTTTTTTCCCTTAAATGAATGTAAACATTTAGAAAAAAAAGGAAAAGAAAAACAATCTGGAAATGAGGTTCTGTTAATTTTAAGTCCAATAAATAATTTTAGCCACACTCAATGTAGCTTTTTTAAGGCCTTCATATAATTGAAAAAAAAAAAAATCAAAGTCGAGCATGTTAAACCCCTGTTCATTTATAAAATAAAATCTTACAGGTTTGCAGTTAAACAGTTACCATTGGAAACCTCTCACGCATGTAAAAAGCTGCAACCCAACCCTAAGTGCTGGTGCTGGCGGGCAGGGCTCACGCTGCCCGTGCCAGCTGTGCGAGGCCTCACAAGCATCGTCATGTTGAGGTCTAGACTTCCATGTATTAAGCCACACGCCAGTGAGTTCTCTGATAAATACACATCGTTTTAATGATCAGCATTTGATAGTGGATGAAAACATGCATTAGACTAAAAATGCCACAAATTTGTGTCTATATCCATTCACTATAAAACTTTTCTTTTTAAAATTTAAAGTCTTGGTTCTCATTTTAGAATACACAATAATCAGGAGGATACATGATGGGGAGCCAGTTTTCAGTAAAAGATGCACAATGGGTCCATCCAAGTAATTTCATCAGCTACAATGAAACAAAAACATATTATTAAAGGAGATGATGGATGTACAAGTTCATCATTCAGGGTAAATTTTGTATCAAATATTTAGTAATAATATAGAATTTTCCTTCTGTCAACCAACCATTAATCCAACCATCTATCAACCTTTCTTCCTACCAAACAACCTTACTATCAACCAATCAACTTTCCTGCCAATCACCCTATCCTCTTGACTACTGGTCCCTACCAAATTCCTTTCTTTCCCTCTTTCCTACTAGTCTTTCTGTCATCCTTTCTTTCTTCTTTCTTAACCTTTTTGTTCCTTCCCTTCCTACCAATCTGACTTCTTTTCATTCACTCCTGAGTGTCTGTTATTAAGTCGAACACTGTTCTTAGCATTGGGAAAACAGCAC